AAATAATAAAAATACTAACAGTTATACTATATTTAAAATTTGTTTGGGTAGAACATTACTGGCTCCGAATACGTCAACATCCCTGCAGACAACATTAGCAGCTGCTGCACATCTAGCAGAGGGACAATTTTTAAATAAGGAGCAAACATTGAGCAATGCAAAGACTCTGATATACCGAGCAGGAACTCGGAGACCAACAATTTCCAGAAGAGAAGGGCAAAATTTCGAGCCAAAATAAACTTGAATAAGAAAGAGAGCATCGAGGCGATGTCTCCTAGTACATAAAGTATGCAATTTTAACTCCTCAAGAGCAAGAGAATATATAATAATAAATATAAATATATATAAATAAAAATAATAATATAAAATATAATATAAATATAATTTGGAGGCATCGTTTCGTTGATTAATTAATGCAGCCTTTCTTAAATTATGGGCTATAAAAAGGTAAAGTTGTCGCTACGCTTAATTAATTAAGCAGCGCAACATGGACACGTGACGGGGGAGTGGCGGTACAGCTCCAACATTCTTTGCTTCTGCGCAGAAGTGATGCATCTTCCGAGTTTCGATCAAATATTTTCGATATCTGTCTACATCCCTCCCGCTGCTTCGTAGACGGTAATTCAAATGGCTTTTGATTATAACTCTCCTGACATTCTGTCCACACACTTTCAATTTTGCTTGTATTAATTCTTTCTATATTTGATTGCATCTGACCTTAGGTCTTCTCTCACATGAGCGCGGAGCGATAAACACGTGACAATATTAAACCTGTTGTTCTCGATGAACCTTGCTACTTTTTCATCAGACAGTAAATATCCTCGTCCTTAAGAATCGACGGACTCTGTATGTAAAATGTGAGCTTTCGGGATTATCTCCGCCATATCCTTGCCGTTTCAACGTTTCAGCGCGCATTTCACCCCAAAACAGCGACTGCATTGCATGGCAAAATAGCTTCGCCACACGAAGAGTCTAAACTCCGAAACTCGAAATTACGTATTTGACGCTGTGGGGGGTTATCAGAAGGGTGTAATAGGCTTATGATTGTGACACATAGCTGTGCTCGTGATAAATTGAAACCGCGTGTTGGATGTGTATGGAAATGAATACAGAATGTTAAAATTCCACACACTTAATTAATTTTAAACTCTTCTGTTAGGTATGTCGATTCACATACATGTAAATTCTATGCATGATTCATATTCAAGCATAAAATGCACTGACAACCATATATAATGCTTCTCTTCTCCAGAAATAATATCACTAGAGAGTATATGTTTACCATTAGAGAAACTGGTATTGCAGGAAATAAATTTTGTTAGACATGTGTCATGAAACCCCAACACTTCTCGTCCACCACTTCAAAAAACAAAAGTTGCTTAAGTTGGTGTACCGACTAGGCTATAGGCTGGACGACCAGAGAATCGGTGTTCGATTTCCTACGTGGGACAAGCAATATTTCCCTTCTCCACAGTTCCTTTATCGGCTCTGCTGCCCACCAAGTTCCTATCCATTTGTGATCGAAAGCTACTCTTTCCTGTGGGGAAAATGGTCGGAGCGTAAAACTCATGTCCATCTACTTAAGAACGGTATAAGATAGATGTAAAGTTTTGTATCTTTGTAATGAATAATAATGCAATAAAGACGTATAGGGGAGTGAGGTTATAGCTCCAGCATTCTTGATCTGGGTACTAGATGCAGGTGACTGGTCACATTCACGCTCCGGTTGCTTTAGCCTCAGGGAAACAGCCCTCAGTATCCCCTGGATAGGAGGCTGGGTGAGCACCAGTGCTGGTCTGGACGTTGTGGAGAATAGAAATATCTTTAGCCCCAGCTGTCCAGTCTCTAGCCCGTCATTACATTTACTGGAGTATCCAGGCTCCTTATGAGTGTGTGGAGCTATACCTCCACTCATCCGTTAGCCTTCATGGCGTGACACTCGATAAGCATGCGGATAACTTTACTTCACATATAGTAGTAATCATCATCATCAGACGCAAAATTGAGGTCTTTCGACCTGCTCCGATTTTGAGCTCAGACGAACTGATCCTTCTATATTAGAACATTTGTGTGGCGTTCTTGTTAGGAACAGTTTCAGTGACAAACCTGAAATTATGCCTCAACCGCTTACTCCCATATGCTTCAGCATTCCTTATTCATCAACTGCCATAACATTCGATGTAATATTTAAGAACTAATGGCAATGTAGTTAGTTAAATTGTAAAGAAATAACAAAACGAATAAATATCCATTGCTGCGTGGAGATAGATTTCTTTCTTAGTGGTAACCCAGTCTCTCTGTTACAACTGCGCAGTTTGTTAGCGTCTGACAAAAGTGGGACTGCTAAGTGCTCAAAGCTTCCCCCAAATAAACAAATGTGGGTGATCGAGAAGGGGGAACCCCCATAGTTAACCACCAGAACTGCCTCATTTCCTGCGGAATTTGTCAGAAAAAATAACAGTTATTGCAAAGACGCTGTTAAATCGCCAGTGATTTAATATCTTAAATATTTTTGTCGAATAAAAATTTATGTTTCCTACATATCTAGCACACACACATATAAGGTAAAACTAAAGTTGTCCCTGTGTTGTCCCTACCGGGACTCGAACTCCGACCACTGTCTGTGATCTTATGTTTCGTGAGTCAAATTCACTATGAATGCAAATTATAGATGGGTAAAATGGTTACTGTAAACACAATAAAAATAAATTAATACAGTTTCTTGGGTAACATATTAGTACCTTAAATAACATGACTTCTAATTGCATTTCCTCTTTGAGATTATTTAAGGGAGACTGAAGGCAGGTTCATGCAACAGGGTTTTAGTGTGCTGTAATGCTGCATATTGTTAACGGTGTGGTCGATCAGCCGCTTCACATATATAAATACATAGTTTTTTCTTGGGAAGGGGGGTGTGTGAGACAGAATCCACTTGGTACGTCGGCCACTAACTGGCCTATTGTACCAGCCCCGGATGATAGATGATGAGTGTGGAGCAGTCAGCGAAATGATAATTGGTAGGGAAACCCCGAAATACTCGGAGAAAACGTGCCCCAATGTCACTTTGTCCACCACAAATCCCACATGACCTGACCCGGGCTCGAACTCCGGCCGCCACGGTGGGAAGCCGGGGACTAACCGCCTGATATGGCACTGCCTATATAAATGGGTAAGAACTGGCTCTGTATTAAAAACCGACGTTCAATACTGATCACAACTGTAGATGATTACTCTAAGCAGAACAAAGATGAATTAATATAGATTTTCGTTAGAAGCTATCGCTCTCTTGAATAGCATGACTTCCAATTGAAGTTCGGCTGGAACGTGACGTGTTTGCGATTGTTGTATGACGCACCGAAGATTATCATTTCAGTGTGGTGCGTCCAATCTAAATTGTGACAGATGACTTAATTCCGGACAAAGCTCGGTCCCTGCAGCTAGCAACTTAATATTAGTATCCTTAATAAATATTTATTACACTTGAAACACTACTAAAATTAAAAGAAAAATTGTAAAACTATATTTAATATTGTGTAAGATTTGAGGCTTTCACGGCGGTGACTATGAAGAAAGCAGTCTTCTGGGATTTGGCACCGTGTATATGTGGTGTTAACGGACGTTTCGGGGTCTGCTTTTACCGGTTCTCACGGTCTCTTCGCCTGCAGATTTCTTATATTTTTCCTTCTACCCTGAAGATGGAGGCGATACGTTCCTCCGAAACGTCAGTTAACACCACATATACACGGTGCCAAATCCCAGAAGACTGCTTTCTTTATATTTAATATTGTTTTGAATATTAACTTTCGTTTCATTCTTGCCATTCTAGTATTATCATGGATTGTTCATAGAAACTCAACTGAATATGGGAGTTTTGACTGTGTGAATCTTGTTGTTTCAGATGAAGTTCTTCGCGTCTTCCCTTCCGGACGTGGAGCGCGTACATCATTCAAATGATATGGTTTTTGAAGCAAGATATTCTCATGCAAAGTGGCATGAACCAGAGCTAATATCCTTTTTTAATAATCTTCTCCACAAACCAACTGACATCAAGAAGAAACACCCAAGGAAATATTAACACAGACATACGAGACATTCTCAGTATATTCACATTCAAGAGCATATACTTACGGGAGGAATAAATAAATCGTTGAAGCCAGAAGAGAATTACTGATACACCCTGTTCTGTTAAATCGAAAGAATGAACAGGGGGAAAATTGTGACATAGGGATTTTTCCGGGAAGTATGGGTGGGAGAATGATATAAGGACAAGACATATTTCTTTTCGGAAACTAGACATTGTTTGCCAGTACATCTGACGATATAGACAGAGAGGTGAAAGTCAATATGAATATAAAGCAATATCTTTCAAAAACGAATGACAGAAGCAAAATGCAATGGCTACATACGTGTTCTGACGAGAACACAAACGACAGAAGGGCCAGATAAAGAGAGATTCCATTTTCTATACGAATTAAAAAAAAACTTTCCTGCTCCTTGTAAGTGTACAGGAAGAGAGTTCTCTAATGTGGATATTATACATGAATTTTAAATCATTTAAACTGAATCGAGAAAATAAAAGGAAAATTTGTATTTTTCTCATATTCATGACATCATATGTTGCAGAACAAAAGACATACGGGTATTATAAAATACAGTAAGCAAATTAACTATTTATATTTCCTCTTCTTCTTGATGTGTGGTCACTTTGTACAAGATTCATTAATATACTAGGCGGAAGATGTGAATAAGATATCGAAGTAAAGACCCTTTCCTCGGCAGCTTGTGTTTTGGGAAAGCAGTGGAAGAGCTGCAACTGAGTGGCCCATGCATTTGCAAGCGATGAATATAACACACCAAGGCAACGAACCGGACCTGTCGTCCAACATTATTAACATGGCAATAAGTACATTTTAATAGAAGGCTTGTTCGTATTCACTGTCTCTTCCGAGGCACCACTAAAATAATTAGTGGACTGTGGTGAAAGTGTAAAGTTGTCATCCATTCCACATGGTACAGAAATAGGCCTGACCACACCATGCAGTAGTCACGTGTCTGTGTTATTGTGTTATAAAGAATTAGATCATATGATGTGAGGAACAGAATATGGTGTCTGGATCAGTCAGACAGCAGACTTGGCTAAGTCTGAAAGAACGGCAAGTTCTTTAAAACTAATATCAGTTATAATTCTGCCAACTTGTACTAATACAAAGTTGCAAAATTTTAAGTGTCATACTGATAACGCGTTTCCAGGTGACATCATCTGTGAGATGTTCCAAGCCGTTTATTATATAATAACGAGCATTATAGGTGTAAGACTAAGTACAGAAGTCTTTCCTTCGTGGAGATAGAGGAATAAATTCCTCTAACTGCTATAGTTATTATAAAAATGAAAAATCTCTTTGCTTCACAGTCTGGTAGCGATTGAATGACTTGAGGAGACGGGACGGAAACTGAGGACGGTACACAGTTATCAAACTAGGACGCAGGCAATTTTGAAGGACAAAGATTTGAGATATCGGAAGGCAAATTTCGATAATGTCTGGCTGGTGGCTGCTCTCGTTGCTCATAGTTCAGTGCTATTGGTCGAGTTCCGCCTGTCCAACACAATGCAAGTGCATGTGGAGAGGTGGCAAGCAGACTGCGGAGTGCATAAACGGGAGCCTTATAACCATACCAGATGGAATAGATCAGGGCACGCAGGTATTAGATTTCCAAGGAAACAATTTACAGATGTTGCCAAGAGAACGTTTCCAAAGAATGGGTTTGCTCAACTTACAGAAGATTTTTTTGATGAGGTGTCGAATTAGGCACATTGATGACCGTGCCTTCCGGGGCTTGACTAATCTGGTGGAACTCGATCTATCAGAGAACCTCTTGACGGCCGTCCCAACAGAAACCTTCAGCGACTACCAGTCATTAATGAGGTTGACAATTAGCGGCAACCCTATTCGCATCCTTAAGACAGGATCCTTCCTGCACCTGTCCTACCTCACGACTCTGGAACTGAGCAACTGCGAGATTGAAATGATTGATGATGACGCTTTCACCGGGCTTGATAATCTCGAATGGCTTAAGCTGGATGGTAATCGCTTAAACAATATCCGTGGTACCCACATCCTCCCGGAGTCTCTGCATGGAATTGATCTCCACCGCAATCCTTGGCAGTGTGACTGTCGATTGCTAGAATTGCGATCATGGCTTATAAATTATAATATCCCTCAGACCATAGAACCCACATGTGTTACACCTCACAGGCTCAGGAGTGTTCCTATAAAGACACTTGAACTAGGAGACCTTGCGTGCCTCCCAGATGTAACACCGACAACTCTCTACCTTGAAATTGCTGAGGGTAGGAACGTATCGCTGTTATGTAAGGTATCAGCTGTTCCAGAAGCCAGAGTATCATGGTGGTTTCAAGGACGCATCCTTCAAAATGACTCAATGGTTGCTCCAGGACTTCATTTGTACTATTTCCTGGAGGAAGGGGCAGAAGAGAAAAGGAGCGAACTCTTTATTTTTAACGCCAATACTGAAGATAATGGGACGTTTATTTGTGTAGCTGAGAATCCGGCTGGTAGAGCTCAGTCTAACTACACTATACGTATTGTTGTGAAGGAAGAGCCTGTTGTTGGAGTGCCAACATTTCCTTATGAATACGTGATAACAATATCTGCGGGAACAGCAGTTTTTGCTCTCTTCCTCGTTATCGCGATGATACTGTGCATCGTCAGATGTCACAGACAGAGAAGGCGAAGAAGAAAGAAGGAGCGTAGTAAAGTGGTGGCTCTACAGCATCAGCATCAACAACAGGGAAAGTCGGCAGTGATGGGCGACTCAGAAAATCAGATTACTAGGATGATTAGTGTGGATACCATGGCGGGTCCTGCGAAAGTAAATGGTACAATAGTAATGACTGAAAGACGTCATCACGATATGGTTTTAGTTTCTTCAGGAACTGGAGGAGCCATCATAGGGAACGATTCGTCAAGACCAGGACTACTGAATCCTTATGGCAGTCCACCTTCTTTGAGAAATTACCAGTTAGAGCAAAATCCAGATCTTATAAACGACACAGAAAGTGTTGGTAAAGAGAGAAGACCAGCTTCTAGAAGAGATGGTGACAGCGGCGAGGAAGGCGAAAGAGAAAACAGTGGACCTAACAGTTATCAAGAAGCTATGGAGAATATAATACATGACTATGAGAATAATGGGTCAAAACCCATACCGTTATCTGTATCACACCATCAACTGAGGGAAGTTGAAAGTCAGTACCCTGTTCATATGTCAACACTTCCAAGGGGTAGCACACGGGACCTGTATCAACACCATCATACAGCAGACGTTCATCTGTCTCCAGGTCGGTTTCTGGATACCGATGGATATCCAATGGACTACGGCCTGCCGAAGATACCGACTCATCTGTCACTACATTCAACACCGCCTCAAGTTCCCGTACCTGCAGCTTTCTACAGGACACTCCCGCACAACAGATCGAACAGACTAGACGCGGCTTCTCCGTGTAGCAGGTACTCCAGAGAAGCCGAGTTTCTAGTCAGATCGTCGCAACCTCCAACGCCCTACGAACACTACACGCCACCCGACGTACGGTACACCGTAGAAGGCTACCCTTGTGCTCCTTTGCCTCCGCAAACACCATCAAAACAGTCGCAGTTAAGTCAAACGTTTTATTCTGTCGAATCACCTGGTTCATTTCCAGACAATAGTTACCTGCCTTCCCCTCCTGCGCCATATAAAGGTGAACCTACTTTACCAACACCCGCTCTATCCATTAAGAGTACTCCAAGCTGTACAAGCCCTCCCACAGACAAAGTTGTGACCTGGCCCGATTTGGCACACAACTGTCATGTTCAGACACCAACTTCCACGGGTGGCGCAGTAAGTAAAAGGACACCAAGCCAAGAAGTTTCACCTTCAAGCTTCAGTCCAAGTTCCAGTGGAATAGGAATTGGAAGTACGTCCCACAGCTCCGACTCTCAGACGAATGTTGCGGATATCTGCGCAGGGGGTCCGCGGAGCGGTCGCGTGGGTCAGGAGCCAGACGACGTCTCCTGCAAACTGACCCCTCAGATCTGCCATGCAAGCGGCACGACGCATAACCAACAAGGGATTCTGACAGAGAGTCCTGACGAGGGATATGAGGGAGAAGGAATTGAGGGGACAGAGATATGACGTCAGAGAAAACTCCAGGGGGAACCCAGGAGAGAAGAGGAGAGTCGAGTCAAGTCTGCGGTCAGAGATATTACTAAAGAGATTCGGTGGAAATTTTCTGATCCTGTGGTCAGTACAAAAGACGCGAAGTCAGAGTCGGATCGGGAATCACAGTAGTGACGTCATAGTCCACTTTTTCAGATCTCAGGAACGCTTAGGTACTGAATATGTGTATTATGTGAATTGAGAACTTGTTTCAGAATTAATGTGAAACACCGAAATAAATTCTACTGCAACATGTTTATGTACACACTTCCGGTTTAGTTATATACAAATGGAGAGACTGTGTTTCTTTTTAATCCGTTTAGTAGGGGGGGGGGAGTGGATTCCAACTGGGTCCACTCGGCACGGTGGCCACCGATTTGCCTATTGTAGACTGCCCCGGGTGATTATGATGATGGAGAATTTGATGGAATGAAGATCAGCAGGGGAAACCGAAGTACTCGGAGAAAACCCGCCCCAGCGCCACTTTGTCTACCACAAATCCCACTTGACCAGACCCAGGATCGAACCCGGGCCGCCGCGGTGGGAAGCCAGCGACTAACCGCTTGAGCTATAGCGCGGCCTTAGAGACTAGTTTAATTAACATATAATTTTATTAAATAAATGTTATTCCTATGATTTTACGTGTGGAATGTGGTAATTAAGGTGAAATATGAAACTATGTCACATCAATAAATTTTCTGAGAGAGTAGATTATGTCTCACCTGCCATAGCTTTTGTTACGGGCAGTTGATTTTCAGTTTGTGTAATTGTTCTTTCCTGCACTTAGTTTCCCACTGAATATTTTTATTGTGAGGAACGGATATTGCAACATAAAATATATGAAATGCACATGGAGTGTAAAAATTATTTGCATAAAGTTGATGATAAAGTTTTCAGTAGTGGAAGTTGTGTGAATGAATGAAACTAACATTAAGGTCCAGAACAGGACAAAGAAAGAATTATTGTGCGACATGAAAATGTACCGTCAACTACTGCTGAAATCATACATTTCTAAGACGTGCTTTTTCCAAAAAATATACCGTACGTGTAATAGTGAAATAAATATTTTATACGAGAAAAACTTCATAGCAGCAGATTGAGAGAGTGAATGTGTGTATATCATTTTCTATGTATACTGGTTAATATCTGAGAAGAAACTGCCCCCCGAAAACTGCAGCGAATTTTAGAATTTGTTGAAGTGTATATAATTCCTTGTTATGCGTAAGATTAGTCATCATTGAAATTGGTTTCAGGTGAACAATTATGATGAGATGGGGAGACGAGAGAAGGTGGCGGTTTTGCAGAAAGTGTCATAGGATTTCTGCTCATGCTTAGGTCCTATGGCTGGTCAAATTATACTGCTCAGATTCACAGATTGAAGATAAGTGTGTTCCTAAGGAGGAGGGCTGGGTTGGAAGATTTGTCAGGTTCAGAATGAATACAGAGTTTCAATTAAAACATTTGGATGGCTGACATAATGTTGAACATAAAAATTGCAATATACGACACTTCGTATTGATATAAATTTGCAAACAGTTGTAAATGAAATTGCTGAGGTCATTAAGTTGAAAATATATACAAATTTTATTATAGTTAATGAAGAATATACATTTTAATAATTTTATAAACGACACATGATGGCGAGCAATGCAATAGCTTAACGTAGATGACACACCTGAGGATGGTACAGTGATGCCGAAACATGTAGTGAAGTGACATGTGAGATTGAGTGCACTACAAGACGGCCAATACATACATATCATGAAGCTGAAAATCAGTGGCAATAAAATATGTTAATATAAAGAAAATGCACCATTTTTATTGGTCTCTGTGCAGTGAATATAATCTTTGGTATGTATAATTAAATGGTTCCTTTTATTTTCGCAGTATTCTTGAATGAATATGACTGCCCCAATTCCCTTTTTCATACTAATTCATACATACTAATTGCTAGTGGGGTGGGGTACTGCGGCCACTTCTGGCCTATTGTACCAGCCCTAGGTGATAGGTGAGGGTGATTATGATAATGGAGTATTTGGTGCAATGAGAATTGGCAGGGGAAACTGAAGTACTCGGAGAAAACCTGCCCCAGCACCACTTTGTCCACCACAAATCACACTGGACCAGACCTGGGATCGAACCCGGGCCGCCGCAATGAGAAGCCAGCGACTAACCGCTTGAGCTATGGCGCGGCCCTTCTCTTTCATACTTACAATACGAGTACAAAATTAGAAGGTTCCTTTGAATAAGAATTAAATGCCAGTTTGAATTGCCTGAGAATTTCTAAGAGCTTTTAGTCACACTTCCTGAATCTCTGATACATATATATATATATATATATATTGTGTAGTTGGGCTGTTGTGTTAACCTGATGTGAGAGACAGAGTTTGGCTGCAGTTCGTGCTCATGAGAATATGGGAAAGTGGATTAAGCATGTTTACTTGTATGGTGACACTTTAAAATTTACTCATATTTTATTTGAATTCTTTTCCTGTATTGAACATGTGAGAAATCGAAATTTATTCATCTAAGTTATTTCTACTAATACAAATCTATGCCCACAAGTCTGAGAGCAACCAAGTTCTTTGCTGAAATGTGTTCCTTTCGTCTGTACGCAATAAGATATACTCGTATGCACAGATATGAACAGTGTAAAAACACTGTGATTTCTTCATGGATAATCAGCTTAATGGGTTAGCCAATGGGAAGAGAATGAAGGAAGAATGCAAATTAATTTGAAAAAATTCACGTATTGTAATTCAGTCATGCGACATGTATGACTTGGCCGCATGTCCACATGTGGCTGCTTTCAGTTACATGATTACTGCTTCAAATTATTACAATTCTTAAAATTCATGTAAAAGTTCTAATTCTTTCGAATTTAAATTGACTGTTATTTCCTTTTGATGAAATTATTAATTAACTAAATATTGTTCACAGTGATGAACCGTCAGAAATATAATTTCATTCAAATTTATCAATTTTATTAGAACTACAACAAAAATTAACATTTTTTGGTTTCCTTCGCATTAAAGTTGTCCCCGTGCCTAATTAGGGACCGCGCTATGAAGTAGTACGGGGGAATTGATTCATGTCAGTCGACAGTTTCACACCCCTGCCACTTCATCCCCCGCAGCCTGGTCTGTAGGAGGTCGGGTGGGCGCCAGAGCTAGCGTGGGTGTGGTGGATGTGTTTACGAGAAATACCAATTCCAGGAAAACGTTATTTAATTAAAAGTTGCTCCGAGTGGTTATATGCCCTAGTTGCGCATATGATATGGCAAATATAATGTTCAATAGAGTATGCGTAGAAAATTTACTTTCTTTTCCCTTCTCATTCAAAATCAGCACCTGATTGTGATTTCGTATTGCTCCTAAACACTGAGCCTTCGTTTTTCAGCGCGCAGTCTTGTTATTATACACGCCTAGAGGAAAACCAGATAAAAAGCTACCACTCTAGCAGGCCGTGGAGGCTCACAGGGTTGTGAAAGTCGAGGCTCCCACATCTTCTAGAAACTCGTCTCACAGATGGCGGTGAAGTTGTCGGCCTTACGCGCCTGCCGCCCTTTTGCCACAAGAAAGATTCCTGATACTCATTTCTGTTAGAGGCTGAGTGCGGCTGGAAGGTTTAGGTCAATTGAAAAATTCGATAACCTCATCGGGAATCGCACCCGTGCCTTCCGGCTTGTAGCACACTACCACAAAATTAATTTATCTATCTGTTCCAGACCATCTCTCTTCTTTTAACAGTTTCTAGACCATGATATTATGAATTTTTATCAAACAGAATATTTTATGCTTTGTTATTTAAAACAGCATTAAATGTAAAGCCAATACACTATTGTTTTGTTTCCACAATGATTATTAGTCGTATAAAACTCTGTTTCAATTATCTGTGAATCTGAGCGTAATTGGTATTCATTCCAAAACCAAACAGGGTAAATCTCATGTGTACAGCAGAGTGAACTGTTCAAGTTACGAAGCTGGATTCAGTACTTCCGAGGGAAACGTTGCTGAAGATGTTCACATGGTGTCAATTCATGTATATTGTATGCACAGAGGTATGAAGAGCTGTGTCTGCATCTTCAGAGACTAAGAAAATATAGTGGAATCCAAATGTTGTGTTCACTGTGACGTGTGGTGTGATTTGCCCCCAAAAGATTTGAAACCGTCTCACAAAAGTCATGGAACACTAACATGCAGGGTGCAATAAAATTGCTTATACTATTTAGTAAGGTAAATATTCCATAAGTAACGAATGATGGTCATATAATTGAAGTTCTTTGTTTATTTTTTAATAAAAAAGGAAAATATTTGAACTTTTTGTGACACAGATAATTATGGACTTACATACTCCTTTTTTTCCCCTACTACATTATCCAAAACACGGATCTTAACGAAAATCTTGTCTCCAAAACTATGTCCTAAGTACTTGACACATTCATGGTGCAGTTAATATTTTATGTAAAGAGTACGATTGCTTGTGCTTTAGGAACTTGTGGTGGTGTAATGTATCAATTTGGGGCAAGATTGTCATCACTGTAGGTATGTCCCTGTCAAGCGAAACTCACTGAGCGGAAAGGATACATTAACCACCCCATTCGACTAAAGTATTTCGAAGAAACACACTACAGCACGACTTTTTCACGAGAATGTAGATCCAAACATTTTGTACAACATGCAGTAACGCGACATTATTTTGATTTGTAATCTCATGTCATGCATCTCCTGAAGCATAGACCACCATAAGTACCTAAATGCTGGAAGACCATCTTTGATAGTATTATGGCATAGCTTTTGGTATGTATGTAATGGTAGTTACTTAAAATTGCAAGTGTCGCTTGGCAGTGCGTCAGCGATTTAAATTCAATTACCAGTAACTTTTTAATATTTCACCAGCAAAGTAACAATACTATTTTCTCGGAAGAGATCAAAACATAAAGCTACCCTTGCAGCAAGCCATGGAAGGGTATAGGGTTGTGAGACGTGGAAGCTCCCACATTTTCAGAAAATCGGCTCACAGATGACGGTGAGTTTGTCAGCCTTAAGCTCTGGCCGCCCTTTACCTCCAAGGAAGACCCCAGGGCAATAGTGCGGCTGGAATGATTAAGTCAAATGAAAAGTCAAATGACTTCATCGGGAATCGACACCGCGATCTTCCGTCTTGTAGCACAGTGCCTCGATCAACTAAGCTACTGCGTGCTCCTTCTCAGAAAAGAGAGGTCTTAAAATTGAAGTGGTGGAGTTCCAGGAATTCAATGTAGAAGATAAAATTTAAGTTAAATATTAATTTATGAGTACGTTTCTTTGATTCGTTTGTATTAGTTCACATACTTTGTTGAATATGAGTTCCTTAGATTGTGAAAATATCTGTAATTACTTGTAC